TTCTATTGCTATCTATTTATATTAAATTAATACATAGATAGATATAACAAATAAATCAAATATATCTAATATGTCCAATATGTTAAAGATATCAATTATATTAAATATGTTTAGTATATCAAATATATCAAATATATCAGATATGTTTGATATATCTGACATTTAGATCTGCAATATACTATGCCATATTCATCAATCCAATCCTGTTACAATACATCATATTATAAACCGTAAAATAATATATAAATTAATTTAAATATTTTTTATTATACAATTAAATACTTTTATAATAAATATATATAATTAAAATAAATAAAAAAATTAAACTAAATTCTTTTAAAATTATATACAAATAATTAAATGATGTAATACTTTTAAAATTATATACAAATTAATTGAAAAATATATACAAATAGTTTTTTTTAAATGCAATATATAAATTAAAAAAATTCTTTATATACAATTTTTTTTGTATATACACCTAATTTATTTTTAATCTAACCATTCTTAACCAAGATTTTAATATTATTTTTTAATTAAATCCTTGATAATGCTACATATAATTATCTATGAAAAAATATAGGATTAGATAAGTATAATCCTATATGTGGTATTGTTTAACTTTAAGTCTTATTAATAGTTATGGTAAAGGCTAAATAAATTAGAAACTGATAAATAATTAATTAAAATAGCAAATCTATATCTGATAGATTAATCTAATTTGAAAAATAAATATTCTTTTTGTATGATAAGTATCTATTAAGATTTCTGCATCTATTATATGTTATTGAAATTCTTTAACAATCAATCTGATACCATTAAAGAATTCTTTTTTAGATTAATATTTCTTAAGAGTATAATAAGAACTCTAACTTTAAGTATCAAATGATGAGAAGGTAGTCTACATAATATTAATATATTCAAGAATTCTATAGAATAAAGATTTTGATAAACTAATTATTTTTCATCAACAGAATCTACTGATAAGAATACTTGAGATTCTCCAGAAAAAATGTTAATAATTTACTTATTAATATTATTAATATTATTATTTTTTATCGTAAAAATTACTTGATCTTTAATATAATTTATATAATTTGCATATCATTAAAATTATCATTAATATTATAAAAAATCTCTAATATTAATGATTCAATTTTTACCAATTTATAATAAATAATCTACAAATTGATTTTACTTATCATCTTGTGATTGTTTAATTCTCATATTAACAGTTAAATATATAATATTAACATATTTTCATAAATCTGAATATTTAATGCAAGCATTTATAATTTGTTTACATTTTTCTCGAATTATTACAGGTAAGATTTATTTAAAATCTTCACCTAAGACAAAAATAATTATACTTTTAAATAGTTTTTCAATATTAATTACATCCCTAAAGATTCTTTTAACAACTTCAAAGGCAAACCTATGTACTATTAATACTTCATTTCAGATAATAAGTTTTGTCATTCAAATTAATTCAGTTAATTCAGATATAACACTTATATCTAAAGTATAGTCTGACCTTAATATAATGAACCTATAATATAATGAACTTTTAACTTACTGAACATTTTTTCAAGAACCAGATTTATAATATTTAAAAAAATTTTGATATATCAAATATCATATAAAATTTATATAATGTATACTGAATTTTATTGAGTAACCGTTTTATAATAAAGTATAATAAAAAAATTTTTAATATACTGAACTGATTACGTGATTAGTAAAATTAGTATTACAAAATTTAAAAATTGGTAAATCAGCATTTAGATAGATTATAATTAAACAATTTGATCAATTATTCAGATTTTTTTTTATTACACTATAAACTAAAAAAGAAAAAATATAAATAATGAAACAACCTTAAAAAAAAGAAAGAATTATATTTGTCATTATCACAGAAAGAAATAGGAAAAAAATTTAGTATAAAAAAAAATACTGTATATGATATTTTAAAAAATAAAGACAAATGGTTAAATATAAAACTTAATAGTTCTAACATAATTAAACAAAAAGAAAAATCATCAAAATTTTCTAAACTAGAAGAAGTTTTGATAATTTGGATTTTAAATACTTTATTAGCTAATAAAACTATAACAGGAGAAATCATTATAGCTAAAGCTGCTGATTTTGCAAAATTAATGAATATTAAAGGTTTTATCAGATTAGCAGGATGGTTAAATAATTTTAAAAAAACACAATATTAAGTAATATAATAAATATGGTGAGATTCAAAGCAGTCTAAGTGAAGAAGAATTAGAAAAAAAAGAGAAAAATTACAGGAATTAATTAGTAAATTTGATTTTAAAGACGTGTTTAACTATGATAAAACTGGTAAATTTTTATATAACTTAAATTTTAAAAAGTAATTATAATAAATATAATTTAAATTTTAAAAATATTTTTATTTTATTTAGGATTATATTGGGAATTAGAATCTTTTAAAATATTATCTACCAATCCTCTTTCTGGAACAAAAAAATTGAAAAATAGAATTATAGTTTTATTAACATTTAATGCAACTGGTTCAATTAAACTTCCAACATTTTACATTCATAAATATCAAACATCAAAAGACTTAAAAGGAATTGATAAATCAAAGCTCCCTGTGAATTATTTTTGAAATAAAAGTACCTGAATGCAAATGTCTATTTGGAATAAATATCTAGAACTTTTAAATCAAAGAATGAAAAGGTAAAATAAAAAGATTCTTTTCTTAATAGACAATGTATCAATTCATTCTGTTAGTAATTAAGAACTATTGATAAATATTACAATTTATTATTTGCTTTTTAATATTACAGTATATCTGTAACCTGCTGATGCTGACATTATTAATTCATTTAAGGTTTATATATTATTTATTATAAATTAAATTATAAAATTAATAGCATATATTATAATAATTTATTAATATTAGGCACAATATCGCAAAAGACTTATAAAAAATAGAATTGAGGCTTATGATAATGAAATAGAGTTAAATATATTAGTTCCTAAATTGAAGATAAGTGATTTTATTTCACTTTATGTTAAAGCTTGAAAAGCTGTAATAAGTAAACTTATTCATAATTGTTGATCAAAAACTGAAATTTTACTAACATTACCTTCACTTTTATCTTTACCTTTACTTTTACCTTATTTTCTAATGAAGAGATCCAAAAATTATTGAATCAATATAGTAATTTTATTTTTGGTGAGTTAATGAATACTAAGAAATTTATCTTAATTGATGATAATTATAATTATAAAGAAGAAGAAATTATAGATGAAGAAATTGTAAATATGATAAAATCAAATAAAACAGATTTTGAAGAAGAAGAATTAATTCTACAACCCAAAATATTCACTCTAGAAGTAATAGCATCATTGGACAAAATATTATCTTTTCTTGATAATCTACCTGATACTTTTATTATGAAGTTCAATAACAAAAATCTATTATATAATCTTAAAATCAAATTATTTATTTCAATAAAAATAGTAGAGTTCAATCAGTATTAGATAGTTGGTTAAATATATGATAGATAATGCATGACTTAATATTATAATAATTAATAATATAATTTTTTTGAACATTAAATATTTATTAGTAATATAATATGAACATTTAACATTTATTAGTAATATAATATGAATATTTTACATTTTATTAGTAATATAATTTTTTGAATATTTTATATCTGTATTTTTTTTACATAATAAAGTTCCACTGTGAATATAATATGAAAAATCACATAACTTTTAAAACTTTTTATTATTTACCTATAGAGTTTAGTATATAAAAAAATTTAGATTTACCAAATATCTTTTATATACTGAACTTTTATCCTTAAACTGAAAGTTTATTATATTGAGGTTTAACTATAGATGTTTCTGTTAATTTGATGGAGATCTTAAATCTTAAATGGACTGTTCTTTTATCATTTAACAATAAAGCTATAATTCTTTATGAAACAACTATAATAGCTATTTTATTATTTGCTCTTATTTGCCAAAATCATATTGAATAAAAAGATCTTTCCATAACCTCTAAGATCATCAACAAAAAATACTGTTTCATCTATTTCATTATTAAAAACTTGAATAATTGTATTATAAATGTTTTTTTGATTAACATTTAAATCATTTTCATTGTTTAAGAGAGTATTTAATTTATTAGAATTATAATTAAGTCCTTCTATTATTAAATCTGATCTTGTAAATTCTCTATTATTTTTAAATAAAAAATAATTAGAAGGAGGAATACTATAATTAGTCAAACATCTTTCATAAGGTAATAGATATTTTTCAATATCTATTAATGTTTTTGTGATTATAATTATATAATCTTCTTTAGATAAATCTTCAATATCTTTAAGTCATTATTATTTGTTCAAATAATCTTTATCTAAAATTACTTAAATAATCTTTTAAAAGCTTATAAGTCTTTAACTCTCTTGAATCATTAAATATTAATATACAGGCAAATAGTTGTCTTAATTTTAATGATATTTAATACATTGCAACCTTATTAAAACATTTATTAAATTCATTATTTTCTTCATTTAATAATCTAAGCTGTCTTACTGCTTTCTCAAATGTATCATAAACATTTTCGTTTATGATACATATAGCTTCATAGAATATAACACCATGAATTTGTGATAATAAAATTCTTAAATAAAATCTTTTCTTATTTTTTGGACTTCAAGTATACATTTGTAAAATTATTTTATTGTCACCTCTTTTTCTTTGTTGTCAGTTTTCATTTTTTCAGGTAAAGTGTTTTGAAAAATCAACATAACACAAATTACTTATGTTTAAATCATCTTGATTATTTGTATATATTTTAAAATAATAGATTAATTTTGTATGTGAAGATTGTTCTAAAATATTAAAAAGATCTTTATTTTCTTAAAGATAATATTTTGTTGATTAGGTAAATAAAATGAAAGTCGTTCAATTTTATATGATCTTTCTTGTAAATAAAAATTAAATAATTTTCAGAATGCTTCAATAGCAGAGACATATCTTACATTTAGATGTTGAGTGATTTCATCTTGTAAGTTTTTGATAGATCCTATTATATAATCAGGTCCTTTGTAAACATATTTGTAAAGATATTTCACAGAACGAATGCTTAAATATATTTTTACATTAATATGATAGTCATATTTTTGACAAAGATAAGAATTATAAAATACAATCCATCTATTATCAATATTAAATTTTCCTTTTTTAACTGTTTTTCTATTATCTCTTTTTCTGTATATTACAATGTGATAACCAGTTTTTAAAGTATCATTAAACTTAAAAAGTTCATCTAAAAATGCACAAAAAAAGCCAATAAACTTATCAATATCACAGTTCTATAATAAGCTTAAAATAAATGGAATTATTGGTAGATGTCCTGTTCCTTCTTGGCGAAGACATGTATATATCATATATATTCTTTTACCAGTGTGAAGTAGCAAACATGACTTCCCACTTCTACTTGATTAAAAAAGACTAATATATCATGCATAATAAGTACTATACATCAGGAACTTAAAAATTAAGTTTACATCGCGTTGATTTGCATTTATCAGCTATATTCTATTGTACTACTTTTAAATTGAGTTGTATAATTTTAAATATCGATTAACATCAAGTTGTTAAACGAAATTAATTTTATAACGTAAATTATAGTAGGAAGTTTAAAGTTTAATATACTGTACATTAAATTCTTTTTTAAAAATTTTAAACTTTTTTTTTTAAACCTTTTTTTCTATTCATTTCAAGCTAAAATTCTCCTTGATTTTTTTACATTCTTATTCACATTGATCTTGTAAAATTATTTCTGAGAAAAATAAAGCGTGGTCACCTTGAACAGAATCGGTATCTTCATTATTTTTATGACTTTTACCACGACTTCTACCAACTGCTATAACTTCATGAATTTCGCGACTTCTATAAATTCCATGACCTCCACGGCTCCTACGATTTCTGCGATTTTCACAATTTCCTTGATTTTGTTTTATTATACAGTAAATTATATATTAAAGACAAATAAAAAAACATTTAGATATTGCTTTACGTGAAGTAAATGATAATTCAAAAAAATTTTCAGGTTATTTTAATTTATATGTAAACTTTTTTAATTTTTATTTATCAGGAAATAATTAAGAGATTTATAACGAAAAGGTAAAGAAAATCTATAATTTTTTACTTAATTGGCTGGCTTATGAGAAATCTTGTATGCGTTGCTGGAGTGATCTTTTTCTTCAGTTTAATCAAAGAAATCATAAGTGTACATCTTTAATTTTTTTTTGATGTCTTTTATTGGATAGAGACAAATCATCCAATGAATGATTAATATGGTTACTAATTATTTCGCCTCTTTAAGTGATAATTCTGTAGAAATCATTCATAGCATTATTTGATGACGTACGGCTAAGTTTTTCACTGTACAACAATTAAAAAAAGAGGCATGTTTTATTTTTCTGCATCGAAAAGATAATACTTTTTGACAACATTTCATAGATTCTATGAAATATCCATATACACCGAATGCTTTCCTGAAAGTGCTGTATTGCTTTTAGATGTATTTACAAAGATATATCAAGCACGAAATCAGTATCCTATAGTTACTAAAACTTCATCTAATGGTATTAACTCATACAAATTACCTTCTTTAGTTTACGAAATAACTGATTGTCACCTTTTAAAGGCTTTGTTACTTATAAGAAACCATCTACAAACATTTTTTGCAATTACATATATTGTGATTACACTAACTATACTAATTTGAATAATTGTAGTGTACTTGTATGTGAACATGGTTATCACAATCATTGTCTAGAAAGGTACCTATCTAAATTTTGATATCTTCAAGTCGAAATCAAAAAAAATCTCAACGCACTAAAAGAAAGTACAACGAAAAGATTAAACAAAAATGAGTTTATTGAAAATACAGTTGTTGATGATCTAGATAACGTCGCATCAGCAATAGATGGTGCAGCAACAATGAAAATTTTATTAGAACATGCAAAAAAAACTTTTTTTTGGTAAATTTTATTTTTATTAAATAAATTTAATTTTTTCATACATCATTCATGTTTTGTCTTAATCATATGTATATCTTAAATAATGGTTGTATTTACAATCATTTTGTAGACATTCATTATATTAAGGTTATTTTTATTATATCAAGAGATATGGTCAAGAGAAGAATTGAGAAGAGAGTTATTCTTCAACCAAGTCGAAAACCAACCCTTTAAATACATTTTCGAGTGTACAATTTAATTTATTAAACTATTTCAAAGGTTTGTCGTATGGTTGCTTCCAGCTTCTTAAATTCGAACTATTTGTTATTTGTTAACGAAATAATTGTTGGTGAAGTGATTGTTACAAAATAAATCAAATCAACATTTATTTTTACATTATCAAATTCATGATTTTGATTGGTCAATCAATAATTGCATGAGTTAAAATTTTGTGCTGTCAGGACAGTCTCTTTTGTTCATTTATATAATTTATAGATGAGGGACGAAACCCCTTAATAACAGTCGAAACTTAGACGAAACTATATTAAAAATCATAATAAGAGAT